CAACTTTGACCTTGAGGCCAATCGGTATTGGTTAAACTTGAAGAAATGACCAATTTAATGATAATCAAGCTTTCGGGCCTAAATTCATATGGGTTGAGCTTGCTCATTTACCAGCCCTTCTAGTTGAGGAGTTTGTTTTTATATAAATATATATATAGCTATATCTCTCTCTCTTTTAAATGTACGATATAAGATCTCAATCTCTTTTGTTCTCACAATTTTTTATTTTTTTCTCAAATTACTTGTGGTTTTTAAATTTAAATTTAAATTTATATTGATATATCAAGAACTTGTCATATAGATATGTAGCACATGTTATATATTCTCAAAGGTTCCAGTTCTTTCTTCTTCGATGTACCAAGTCTGCAAATACCGTGCTTTCATTCTTGAAGATGTTTTAGGGGAGTAAAACGTTCAGGGTCCATCTAGAAAAAAAAAAACTTTAATAATAGAGAGCATATAATAGATTGACTATGAAATAAACCCACATTGGGTATTTCTCTCAAACACATGGGGAGCCAAAAGGAACCACATTGTACAGTAGTTTACAAAAGATTGAATTTACAAAAGATTGAATACCAAAATTGAATTTATTAGAAGATCCAATACCAAAATTGAATTTATTAAAAGATTGAATACCTTAATTAGCTGTTATTGTCCTTGCCATCGTGATACAGCATTTTAATTTTTCTAGGAAAAAGAAGCAAACAGAACTTCTTTTGAGGGAAGCAAAGTTTGGTGTGTGTATATAAAGTGAGCTGACCTTAAATTATAAAGCTTTATACTTGTTAATACTCAAATTACCTATTCATAAGCATTTGCATATGTAATGAGATGTCAAGGTCCTTTCCACCATCAATAACCCAATTGACACCTTCCTGCACTTCTTTTGTAAGAAATCCTTGACTCTTGAAGCACCTAAAACATAGTTAATCTATCAAAATAACGCTAATTGTTCTTCATTGATGCTTGAAAATTGTATTATAAGCAACAGTTGTTCTGTGATAGGTAGCTCTGTAAAAATTCCAATTTGAATGTAATGCTCCCGTGAAAAGTGACAAAAAATATATTATTAAATTAAAATATTTTTAAAATGAAAAGAAAATTGAATTCCTTGACTAATCAAGATGTGTGTATGAGATTGGTATATCAAGAGCACTTATCCATTTTGTTAATTTAATCTCTACTTCATTCTCTTCAAGTCAGGGGAAAAATAAGTTAGAAATTAGAAGTGAACACATCCAAAAAGAACCATACGCAATTGCAATCAAGGGAAGGCAATAGAACTCCAGATTAAAAAAATACAGGAAAATAAAAAACATAAAATAGAAAAAAACTGAACCCAATAACCTTAGCTCTCTTCAATTTATAAGCTATGGTGCTGTTCAGAGCATAAAAAATGAAATGTATCTCTTAAACCTTCATGAGAGACAATAATTCTTCCATGACCAGGTGATTATTTAATTTGTGCCATAATTAAGTACATAAGTTGGTTTAGGCAAGGGATTATACGTGAAGAAAGTTTTCACAGACTTGATAGAAAGTTTTCACATCAGAATGAGAGATTTGACCTACACATGTAGAATGGCATGGCTATAATATAATAAAATATTATGTAATATGAATCTTTTAATCATATGTAGTAAGAGATATGATTATAACCATGAACTATATAGCACTGTGTTTCTGAAATGCATTGCTATTATTATCATGCCTCATCTGTCTAGCTGCTCTCTTCTTCTGCAGTACATATTTCATAGAAGGACTGTTCATTTGTACTATTTAAAATTATGGAAAAAAACGTAAGGGAAAACCATGCTTGATGTTAAACGGGTAAGAAAGGAAGAAATTTTATTGAGAGAACTGGTTTGACACATGAAGGATTTGATGGCTTAGTTGAAGTACAGAGGTGATTTGTTGATTGGGAGTTGTAGTGTTTTCCAGATGGACCTCTCATTTTTGACAAATATTGCTGCACACTAAACAGAAAATAAGTATATTTTAAAGCATGAAATTATTCGATAGAAAGATAGAAGTGAAGGAGGGTTTTCAAAATTATTCGATATTCTTCTGACTAAGGGCTTTCAAAAGTTATGAAGATCAGCACATTTGAAGATGCATAGGATTAGACGTGGGAATATTTTAGAAGTGACATCGAAAATTCTTCACTAATGTCCTTAAACAATACCTATCAATTATTTGACATTCATTCCAATTCAAATTTCTGGGCATATATAGTCTAATACAAATTTAGAGGAAAAGCAAAATTTTGATACAATTGATGAATGATGATATCAGATCAACAAATCAATAGTTTTTTTAATAAATCATCACATTCCAAAGATTGTTTTGTTACTACTATTTTAATATTTAATGATTAATCCATCTGATATGGAATAACTTCCCTTTTTACATAGATCATGAGGTATCTTTGTATTGCATTATCATAACCTATTATTTAGGTTATTATATTGCTTCATTCATGTAAGATATGAACTGGAGCAACTTAAAAGTTTAAGAAAGCATCGTGGTAGATCAATTTTTTCCAGTGATTATTTGATCCTGGTCATGTCTATTAGAAGCCAACTGAACCATTCCATTAGTCTCAAGCTTTATATAACTCACTTCAAAATGACGAAATGTTTTACTACCCAATACCAGTGCAAAATGTGGTCATCCAAAAACTTGTTCTAAGGCCAAATAGAGTGTTGAACACAATGCTTATCTCAAATAAGAAGCAATATCAAGATTGAAAACTTTATCTTAAAGCTAAGTTGAAAATCATCAAAATTAGTGAAAAGCTTGCTTGCATTTCAATAATTCCAAAAATTCCAACTGGTTTTCAACCATATTGATCAACCACTATTCCCAATGGATACCAAAAGGAAAAAGAAACATCAGTGCCCGAGAATCAATAAGTAGATTCCTAGTACTAAAATCATCATCAACACATAAGTTTTAACAGGTAAAGCTCTTATTAATTAGTAGATTCCTAGTACTAATTTAACTAATTTTCTTAACACATGTGAACTAGTTATTTGAGGAGGACGTGGGATGGAGTGCCTTTTCTAATAAAAGAAATAAAATAGTTAAGGTGTGAGTGAAAATCTAATACGGAAGCTATGTGACCAAGTGAAAATCAAAAAAGAATTTGGGTGACTTAGAAAATGATATCCAAAAACATTAAAGGAAAAAAAAAAAGACTTTAAGTTTGAAAAGGGGCATTCATATTGCAAAAAGATGTGAAATGAGAACGAGACCAAGATTTACATTCAACGGGTGATAAGTGCTGCGTGCTCTTGGCCCAATGCTTATCAGAGCCAAGAGCAATTTTGACCCTCCATTTCAATTCAAATTAATTTTTCTTTTTCATTTAAATTAATTTTTAAATATTTTAATATTATATGTATTAATATAAAAATATAAAAATTTTAATAAATCTATTTATTATCAATTTGGCTAATACATATTTAATCTAACAGTTTAGTTTAACATTAATTTTTTTTATAATTTTATAATTTTATTATTCAAATATACTTTGGACAGTTTAAATATAATTTAGATGACCTAATTTAATATTAAAAAATTTATAAATTTTACATGTTAACCATTTAAATATACTCTAAATAGTCTTAATTTAATATTAAAATTTATTTTAATAAATATAGTATTAAAAATAATTAAAAATTAATTTAAAAGAATGGCAGATACTATTTTAGATCATTACATGTATGCTTGTTATATTAGGTTGCTCACTTTTAAGTCTTAGTGCACTGAGCTCCGTATATGAGGGATTGTCCTTTCTTGCACGGTTGTGATGATCATTGAATCAATAATAAATTGCTTCAATGATAATACCACCTCTTTCGTTTTAGAAAAAGTCGCAAATTTCAATTTGATGTTAACATGCTTGTGTATGTGTATAAATGCATAGCTCTCTTTTCTATAAGAGATGACTATGTTAGGAGTAATTTTTTTAAAAAATATATATTAATTGAGATACTAATTCACATTTTGTTTGTTAAATTACAGTTTTGTCCAATTCAAGAGTATGTTAGCCAATTCTTCACAAGTTTACATAATTTTTTTGCATGAGTTTTGACTCAGACTAATCTAGTTAATAGCTTGTGGACATCTCTTTAGGAGACATTACTCCCATCAAGAACTTAGTCATTAGTGTATATCAATGATTAAAACTCAAGATATGCTATTAAGCTATATCAACTCCCTTACAAGTTGATTATTGTAATTTCATGACATTTTTTTTTCGGTAAACTTGTAATTGATTTGAAGAATGAGGACTTCTAAATGCGCTAGGTTCGTTGTCTTGCATTAGCATATGGTGATTGTGTAGATTTGGCTATAAAAATTGTATATTTTGTAGAAATAACTATACTTGCATTTGGACCGAAAAAATTATTCTTGCATTATCACACCACTAAAAAAGTTTAGATAGATTCATTGTACTTGAATTTTTTAAAAAAATAAAAACTAATTATAAAGTTTATTATTATTATTTTACTAGGTTCTTGATAAAAACTATAAAGTATTCAGGTTCTATACAGATTGGGCTTGAACCCAAATGGAAAATTAAATTATAACTGGGCTCTGATCCAAATTATTGTCTTCACTCTCTCTGTTTTCGATATTGTTGTCACTTTTATCTCGTAAGAAAAACGAAAGCCCATTTAAATTTTTTTGTATGCAACGTATTAATTATTTTATTATTAATTAAGACCAATACATATATTTTCCCATCTTCTAAATCTCTTCTTTAATAATGAAAAATAGATGTGGAAGAAAATACATGAAAAAATGTGCACTGAATTATCCATCTCTAGTTAACACAGTTTTTTTAAGTATAATAAAAAATAGGTTCTACCGACAGGAAAAAAAAATATCTTTTCCAAAACACTGAGAGCAATTAATGGACATCTCTTGGGCTGAGATTAACGTACGTCTTCGTATGGGAAAATAAAGCAACGAGAGAATGATCAAAGTGTCATAAGTATATAATTTTTCTTTTTATTGGATTTTTATTTTTATTTTTTTACGAACAAAATTAGTCAAATTGATAAATATACGTCGTCTTCGTCGTCCATCAAAGCAAACGAAACAGAAACATCACATAAATGCATACATACGTGCACACACTTAACCACCACCAAACTAGGGCTTTTGGGAGCTTCGGGTAGCATTGTCGTCGGAGCTTGCAGGGTACCCAATACCATGGCGGTTATTAGGGAACATCATGAACACCACACCGGAAAGCGCTCCGATCGCCGGCGGCAACACCTGCAACAGAACCTTCTGCTGTGTCTCCAACTTGGGGTAGAAACACTGGACGGTGTTGTTGTCCAACAGTCCCAAAACGGCGAACACTAACAGCGAGAACAAAGCATGCACGAAGTCCCCAAACCTCAACCTGTACGCCTTCAAGTCGACGTCGTCCGAAGCAGGAGACGGCCATATCCCCTTGGTCGTGACGACGCCATAGTGGCGGGCGCTGTCGCTGCCAGTGTAGCTATCAGTGAAACTGGCGAAGACGCAGTTGAAAGCACAGATGATAAGAAGAGCGCCGGTGAGGTACTTGTTGAGGACGGTGCCGCAGCGGCCGTCGTTGGTGACGACGGGGTTGAGGAATTGGAAGAGGAAGACGGTGCCGGTAGGGAGGAGCCTGATGAGATTACCGAGTCCGTTGAATGCTTTCCCTGATATGCTATTATTATTATTATTGCTGCTGCTGCTTGTTGTGGCTGTGTCGTTGTTGTTCTTTGAGATTTTTCCACCCATATTAATCTGAGTTTTTGTGCTGCGCAATGATTATATATATAAAGCCTACCCAATCGATCTTTTTATTACTGAGGAATAAGCACAACGTTGTGGGTTGTATGTGTATGTGTGTGTGTCCATATATATATCCACACACACAAGAGATGAGGAGAGGATTGCTTGTACGCAATATGAATATTTCTTTCGACACATGTGACAGCTTAGGTTTGCTTTTGCTTGTGCCTTTGGGCATGACGAGATCAGCTTCATTTCTAATTCAAGCTTTCACCACTTAATGTACACCCACACACCCGCATAGGGTAAAAGAATAAATTCGCCCTAAATTAAGTCCATGAGTGTGGGATTCTATTTCTAATGTAATATTATCCTTTAACTTTTAAAAACAGTGCAATCTAATTCAGTTAAAATTAACTTTAATTATTAGTTAATTGAAAAATAATAAAAAACCTTAAAAATATAGAAAATAACTAAAAAATTACTGGAAAATATTATTGGTGATTTCTTGTAATTTTGAGATCATTTTGTCATTTTTTGATTAACTAATTGCCAAAGTTAACTTTTATTAATAATAGGGGATAGATTGCACTATTTTTAAAAGTTTAAGGAAAATATTTCACCAAAAACAAGTTCAAGATACTAAATGCTTTTGGACCTTTTTAACTTAGAGACCAATTTGCTCTTTTACCCTACATATACAAAAGAATGCGTTCATGATTAAAGTCTCATTTGGTTATTAAAAATAAAAGGAGTGGAATAGATTGAAAAAATTATACAAAAATAAATTAAATTATCCTTCCTTCCTTGATGAGCATGATAAAACTCATTAATATATACTACAAATGTGATAATCATCATACCCTCCAAAAATATTATGAATCATCATTTTTAATCTCATGAACTAAATTACCCCTTTTTTTTATAAATGTGTCCATTTATCTCATTTGATCATCTTATTTTTACCTTTATTTTTTAGTTCATCACATTCTTTTCTAATAAACAAACGGGATCTAAATATTTGCATATATAAATACCATCCCCTGTGCATTTGCGTGTGTGTGTGTGTGTAGGAGATGGCATATACGTTAGAATTATCTGTCCAAGCAATTCATTCCCAGCTCATATAAGATGGATGGATACATGGATGTACATGCTTTTTCTCAATACTTTTATTCGTGTATGCAATCTGTTTTGTTTAGTTAATTGTCTATTTTTGGTTTGATATATGTGTAATATCATTATAAATGTTTTTTTTATTATTTATAGGTATTTTTTTATTGGAGACAGTTCTATTTTTTTTGGACCAAAGGAGACAATCTTATTCAAGACATAATTGGGCACTAAATATAGACACATCTTCTATAGAAGATTTACTATAATTTTTATATTAAATTAAATATATTTTCTATATTTATTTATTTAAAATAAGTATTTTTGTATTTAAAAAAACATTTAAGTCATAATAAGATATGCATGGACATTAAATAAAATCGGCAATCCAATGGGATAATGAGATTATGTATAGAGAAACGAAATAAATTAAATTAAATAGTATGATTTCATGATCAGTTGCCAACAGAAAGTTGTATGATTTCAAATACAATATAAAAAGAAGAAGATGGAAAATTAAAATATGAAGAAAGAAATTAAACAAGAGGGTTTGTTTGACTAATTAAATTCCAAATAATCAGGTGCATAGAAAATTTAAAATTACAAAGAAATAATTATAATAAAATGTGGGCCTGAATTTATTTTTGGATGATCAAATCTACACTACTATAAAAATGTAAATATAAGACACCATAAAAAATTACAGTCAAATAAAAACACGTTATATATGAGAGAGGCGGGTGACAATGAAAAAATAAATGACAGATGTTTATATATTGTAGACTTTAAATGGGTATTAAAAAAACTCGTCATTTATTTCAGCCCAATGTTTTATTTACTGGAAGGAAAAAAATAAAAAATAAAATTACACTTTAAATGACAGGCATTTGAACTACCCATCATTTAAAGTTTAAATAATATATGACGGGTATACAAACAACCGTCATATATTGAGGCTCGCTGTTTTAATTTCTTAAATTAAAAAAATTAAAAATTTTAAAACTTTAATGACGGGTGTTTAAAACACCCTTCATTTAAAGTCCCAACAATATATGATGGATTTTTTAAACACTCGTCATATATTTAGAGCCAATGTTTCAGTTTCTTGAATAAAAAAATAAAAAATTTTAAGCTTAAAATGACGGTTGTTTAAAACAACGGTCATTTAAAGCCTCAATAAACACCCGCCATATATTCATGAATAAATGACGGGTATTAGAATACCTGTCATTTATTCTCATTTTTATTCAGTTTTTAAATTCATTTTTTCATTCCTGCCCGTTCGTCTTATCGGTTTTCTCTCTTCTCCACTTCTACACAAAATCGGTAGAAATCTCTCAATCTGCCTCCATTATTACCGTCGACCACCTTAGTCCCTCTCCGACGTGAAAGTGTTCCTCCTACGCCATCTGTTGTCACTCTCATTTGCTTCCTTTTTGTGTTTTATCCTCTCTTCTTCAAGGTATATGGGTGAGTATTTTTATGGTTTTTCTTCATTTTTTTCAATATGCTTAGATTTCTAGATTATGAGATTGATTTATTTAATATTACGGATTGTTTTATTAGTTAATTTTTCTTGTTTCAATTTCTCCTCATTTGTTGCCCATTTTAATATTGTGGGATGTCAAAAATTGTTAATGTTTGATGTTTTATTAACTTGAGAATGATAGTAGATGATATACTTAGCCTTAGAATGATTATTTAGACAAAAATTAGTGATCAAAATGGGATATTTATGATGATTGTATTTTTCTATGAATTTTGACTGATTTATTTCAATAATTTTTATTTTAAATGTCATGCATTGTTTGATCAGAGTAGTTTTATCATTCAAAACTACATATTAAAATGTACTAGTCTACCAATTTTTATTACAATTGGAATTCATTTTAGTGACCCAAACTGATGCATGGTTTTTTTAAAAATCATTGCTATTTTATTGATATTTTTACATTTGGTAAAGAATGATTTGTTCTTGGCTTGAGATTGTTAATATAGGATATATGTAACCTTAGAACGATCAATGAGACAGAAAAAATTAATTTAAAATGATGTTTATAGTGTTTTTCTTTTTTCTATGATTTTTGAACGAATTTTATATATAATTTTATAAAAATTAGAGTTAATCTGAAAATGCTATTTTGTGAGAATTTTATTAGTTTTATAATTGTATATGGTTGAAATTAGTTTGTTGAGTGAGATGCCAAGATTGAAAAGAGGATTTTAGCCTGAGAAATACTTTCTTTGTGTCGTTATGCTGTCAAATTTTTTTCGACGATTGAAGGAATATATGAATGCTCATGTATTGTAACTCATGATTCATTAATTAGTCTATATTATATGTAGAGTAGTCAATTTCTTTATTAATAATCTTTCTATCATTCCTTTCCTTTCCATATTCATGAGTTACTGATCACATTTCCTTGAATGAATTGTCTTTTAGATTAAAAAGTTATGAATAAAGAATGGATGTCTTCCAATCGACTAAGTAAAGAATATTTGAATGGTGTGAAAGAGTTTATGAGGTTTGCTTTTGAGCATGTAAAAGACCTTAGAAGAATAGTGTGCCTTTATGTAAGATGTAGTCTTTTGAAGCAAATTAATGCATCTAAAATGGAAGACTATTTAGTGTGCTATGGAATTGATGAAAATTACAAGTGTTGGCATAAGCATGGAGAGACTAGAGATGATGAGTCTACTAATAATTGGGAGTATAAAGAAAGCTTTGAATTAGATGATCATGACACAGATACTTATAAAGGTGATTGTCTTGAAGAGATAGCTAATGCAATTGAAAGGGAACTTGAGGATTGTCCTGAAATGATAGAGATGTTGAAAAGTGATGCAGAGAAGCCCTTGTACGCTGGTTGCACCGAATTCACAAAGTTGTCAGCGGTGTTCAAATTGTACAACTTAAAAGTGATCAATGGATGAAATGATAAGAGCTTTACAAAAAATCTTACACTCATAAAATAACTTCTACCTGCGAACAATAAGCTTCCAAGGACTATGTATGAGGTAAAACAAATGCTACACTCAATTGACATGAGTTATGAGAAAATACACGCCTATCGTAATGATTGCATATTATTTAGAAATGATTATGCATCATTAATGGAGTGTCCAAAATATAATGCTTTGTGTTATAAAGAGAATGAGAAAAGTCTAAAGAAGGCATTATAGTTCTTTCCTATTGTACCTAGATTTAGACAGTTGTATAGTAGTATAGAAGATGTAAAAAATTTGACATGGCATACAGATGAATGGATCAAAGATGGGAAGCTTCAACATCTACCTGACTCTTCTCAATGGAAAAAAAATTGATCTCGATTACCCTGACTTTGGAGCAGAAGATAGAAACCTTCACCTCGTATTATCTACTGATAAAATGAATCCACATGGGCTTTAAAGTAGCAGTCACAGTACATGGCCAGTTATTTTGGTAATTTACAACTTACCTCCATGGTTATGTATGAAGCGAAAATATATGATGCTATCCATTCTAATTTTGGGGCCAAAATAGTTGGGGAATGACATAGACATATATTTGACTCCTTTAATTGAAGATTTAAAATTGTTGTGGGAGCACGATGTTGAGGTATATGATGGACATAGAGAGGAAATGTTCAATTTAAGAGCATCGTTGTTTGGTACAATCAATGATTTTCCAACATATGGTAATTTGTCAAGGTATAGTATCAACAAAAATCTCGAATGTCCTATTTGTGAAGAGGGCACATATTTAATGAGATTAGAATATGGGATGAAGAATGTCTATCTCAGACATCGTAGATAGTTGCATCCTGATCATTATTATCGACAACTAAAAAATGCTTTCAATGGGAATTTAGAAGAAAGTAAGGCACCTTTGCCACTGATAAGTGAGCAATATTTTGACAAGGTGAAGAATTTGAATATCAAGTTTGGAAAACCTTTTGCAAAACATCTTGGGACATGTGGGTGGAAGAAAAGG